CAGGCTCATCAATCAGGCTCTGTCACTTAAAGGTGCAGTAAAATTTATGCTTTCCAAGAAAAAAAAAATAGAATAGCAATGCCTGCTCCTTCATTCCATTTATTGTAGATAACGTTGGTCAGTGAAGATGCACGTATTCAGAGCTGTGAAAATTAGGTTAAGAACCACACTGTCGAGCCCAGCACAATGGCGCAGTGGTTAAGGTCCTCACCTTGCAACCCGGGATCCCATATGGGCGCCGGTTCTATCCCCGCAGCCCCACTTCCCATCCAGCTCCCTGCCTGTGGCCCGGGAAAGCAGTCAAGGACGGCCCAAAGCTTTGTGACCCTGCACCCACGTGGGAGACCCGGAAGAGGCTCCTGGCTTTGGATTGGCTCAGCTATGGCCATTGCGGCCACCTGGGGAGTGAATCATTGGACAGATCTTCCTCTCTGTCTCTCCTCTCTGTATATCTGCCTTTCCAATAAAAAATAAAATAAGTCTTAAAAAAAAAAAGAACCACAGTGGGCGGGTGCTATGATAGGGCAAGTCAGACCTCTGCCTGTAGCACCAGCATCCCACATGGGCTCCATTATGTGTCCTAGCTGTTCCATTTTCAATTCAGCTTCCTGCTAATGACCTGGGAAAGTAGTGGAGGATGGCCCACATGGGAAACCTGGAAGAAGCTCCTGACTCCTGGCTTTGGACAAACTCGGCTCTAGCCCTTGTGTCCATTTGGGGAGTGAACCAGTGGATAGAAGATCCCTCTTTTTGTTTCCCCTTCCTTCTCTATAACTGCTTATAGCAAACCTTCATAGTCCACAGAAAGAACTGACCATCCCAATACCTTGATCTTGAATTCTGACCTCCAAAACTGTGATACAACACATTTCTATTGTGTAAGTCACTCAGTCTGTGGTACTTTGGTAAGCGGCCCTAGCCAATTCATTTATCAAGGTTATGCCATTTGCCAATAATCACCTGCATAATAGGAAATGTGGCTGCTGCATAACCCTTGGTGTCTGGTACCTAGGTTCTATTCAGTAACACTCTCTAGGGTCCTTGCTGTATCAGAATAGAATAATGGTCTGTGAAAAGAGGTAAGCTCTTCAATGTGGGCTAGCAGTTCTCACCTCACTTCAATATTGCATAATAACTGCTTGCCCGCCAGTATATTTATTTGCAAGCAGTTGGTTATGTCATTATTTCCCAGGAATAAGGAAGGGCAAAAGGACCCTATCCATTTGCCATGTAGTCTGAAGCCCTCCACTGGAGGTATACAGTTAGTGTCAGATCTCAGGAATTGTGTTATGCAAATCATCTTCTGGGTCTGACTAGGGACACCATGACCTGTGAGCTGGAAAGACAATCCCAAAGACTCAAGTTAAACTACGTTTCTGATTATGCTCTTTAACTTTCCGAAATTTGAAGAACCACATTTTTTAAAAGAGAAGAATAATTATTGAAAGGCAGAGAAGGAGACAAATATAGAGATCTTCCATCTCCTGGTTCATTCCCTAAACTCTCCCAGTGGTGGAGGCTGGATCAGCCTGAAGATGCAGCTTGGAATTCAAACTGTCTTATGTGTGTAGCAGGGACCCAAGTACATGAGGCCTCACCTGCTGCCTTTCACAGTGGACATTAGCAGGAAGTTAGAATCAGAAGTTGAGCCAAGACTCAAACTCACACACTCTACCATTGGATGACTCAAATGGCAAAGACCCACCTTGATCATGCACATCTTTGACATACGGAATGAAGCTGATAAGCATTTTCCCATTTCCCTGGCCAATGCCTTCAGTCCTTGTTAGAGCATCCATGTCTTTTCTCTCTATATGTATACACAAACAGGTGTGACCCATCTGGGTTGACTCAGCTGTTTGGACTTTAGCCTTCTGTGTTCCCTGACACCCAGGCTCTAGCACTAGAAGTTTGGTTGACATTAAACTGCCTTCTTTCCCCTTACTCACCTGTTGACATGCTACTTACTTACAAAATCCATTTCAAACTTCACATTCACTGAGGACGTTTCTCCCATCTTTTCAGCTGAGTTATTTCCCCAGCATCCACTCCACAGTTTGTCTTCTAGTAGAGATGATTATGCTTCTTTGATTCCCACGAGCTTTTAGAAGCCTAGCCTTCATTTTTTTCAATTTTTGTGTCTTAAACGACACTTAGTCTGGTCTTCACATAGTAAATACCCAATAAGATCTTGGTTAGACTTAATTCAAGCTCCAGATTAAGCAACACAATTTTTCAAACAGACTCCAGGGACAAAAAGTAAGACTGAGAACCATACCTTTGCTTTCATTTTTTAAAAGATTTATTTATTTATTTATATTTATTTTAAAAAGGGAGAAGGATACACACACACACACACACACACACGTACACACACAGAGAAGAGAGAGAAAGAGAGAGATCTTTCATCCACTGGTTCATTTTCAAGAGGGCACATTAGCAGGAGCTGAGCTGATCCGATCCGAAGCCAGCAACTAGAAGTCAGCAACCAGGTCTCCCATATGAGTTCAGGGAGGATTTGACGACTTCTCAGGCCACCATAAACAGGGAGCTAGACAAGAAGTGGAGTAGCCAGGGACATGAACTGGCACCTGTAGGGGAATATCAGCACTGCAGGCAAAGGCAGCCTACTATTCCACCACACTGATCCCTGGGTTTCATTGTTTTTAAGGCAGAGCCAGCTCATACAAAGCAGAGTAACTCTTTCTTATGTTTTTCCTGGAGGACAAAGTGTGGGCATATGGTCATCAAGTCTGCTTTGTGGTCTTGATTTCATTGTCTACCGGTTTAGGGGATTTTATTTTGTTTCTGGACTTAAGTATTTTGAACTCCAGGAATGATATTACAGCATAGCCTGGCAATAATTCCCTCACATTAGGTCAGGTAATGGAATAACAGCTCAGACGGCATTGTGGTCCCAAATGGGAGAAACATGTGATATCAATTGAAAGCTGCATATGGCCAAAGTATATTGCATCTCTCTAGATTGCTTTCATCTTAAGAAATGTGGAGGAGCAGGAAAGAGATATGCTGCCTTGCTTACAGACCCCTGACCTAACAGCTCAAATTCAAACCAGTCTTGACCCTGGTGACTTGATGTTGACAGCAACAAGTTTATTAGCGGCATGACCTAATATATGCGTTCCTTTTCCTTGGGATTGAACTTTGATGGAAATTATTGATCCTTGTCAGACTGTAGAATGTGTAACTGTTCATGTGGATGGAAGTGGCAGTCACAAACATGGGGACAAATTGTGACTGCAGTGTTTTCTAGAACTTAAGAACTTTGCATAGCATTTATCTTTCTGGTCTTCAGTTCCATGATCTGTAAAAGGGGTACAGAGACCTGCTTTATAAGACTGTTAAAATAAACATAAGAGTCAGGGCAAGTGTGTTCTCTAGTACTCAGGTCATAATTGGGCTGCTGGGCTTCATGGGAGCTGTTTCTTCTTCAAGCAGTTCTCTACACTGCCTTCAGTGAAAAAAAGGAAATGTCCCAGAAGGCTACCGGGTTTGTGACGGACTCCATCTCTGACTCCTTTCCCTTGGCTTGCCTTTTTACTCTCTGTTCAGAATCGGTTTGGAAATCATAAGCTAACATGCTAGTGATGGATGTATATTTAGTTTCAGATACAACCTTGCTGTTATTTTCCTGGCCTTCTTCCAAAACATCTTCCAAGTTATCAATCTCGCCAGGACACAGTGTGTTTTCTGACCACTTCCCTTTGCAAGGAAGGATGGTGACCACTCGCTTACGCACAGACTGAGACCAGCAGCCTTAACCCCAAAGGAGGTCAGAAACTCCCAGTTCTCTCTGCTGAGGGGGCTAGCTGAGAACCTGACACCATGTGTTTTCAGGCTGTGGCTAAGGCTGTGACCATAGGAACTGGGAACACCCACCAACACCCTGTTTCCCCCAGCCCCACTTCCTTGGCTTCAGTGCTGTTAAGCAGAGCTTACAGTGTGTTTGTGAATGTTTTGAGTGGAGTTGGGTTTCTGGTGTTTATTATTGAATTGCTAAAGATTTGGAGAGAAGATGAACAAACAGACAGGCAGACAAGTGAAGGAACAGATGGCAAACACCCTTGGATAGATCAGCAGATATAGCAAAGGATGGTCCGGGATCATGGGGAGTGCTCGCTGGGAGTCGCTGGATTTGGTAAGTTGCTCTGCAAATAAAACCTGCCCTGGACACACAGCAAGGAGGTTTTATTTGTTTAGGAAACTTGCCAGTCTGGCCTCGAAGATAGTAGGTCACCGTCAGGGTTGTGGTGAGTTTTCCTGTTTACTAACTACCTTCATGGAAGCATCAGACACAGGACCACAAGGGGTCAGGTAGGGTCAGCTCCTCTCATGTTTCCAGACTCAGTGTTTCAGTGAAAGCTTTGTCTCTTGGAATGCTTCTGCCTCAACTCTTCCCATTACAGAAGAAGAAGCAAAACCAACTCACAAAGCATCTCTGAAGGTGTGGGAGGGCTGATGGGGCAAGTACTGGAAAGGTCAGATTGCACTGTGTGGTCCACAAACTCTCACAGCAGGGCGAGAAGCCTGCCCCATCAGACTTGATCATGTTTCTTTTTACACAGACTCACCTGCCACCCACTGAAATCCACATAGGCAGAGGCCCTGCCTGTGCTGTTGGCCACTGTAGACTCAACATTCACCACCACGCCTGGCACCGATCAGTCTCTTAGAACTTACTGGTGGAATTAGTCTACGTCTGTAAGTAGACAAAATGCATATGTGTTGGGGTGGTCTTCACATACATGAAGTCCTGCTGTTTTGAGAAGTGAATTTGCGCCACACTCAACAGATTTGAGTGTAGTTGATCTAGTCTCTGCCTCCATCTTCTCTTTCCTATCACTGAAGCAAAGATAGCCCCCCGCTAAGGGATAGGGGAACCCATACCAGCAGGCTGTGAGCTCCACGGGCTCTTGCTTGGGGCATCTGCTGGTGCCTGGACTTCTTCCATTCCAAACTGAGTGTGGTTCCTTGGGAACCTGTGCTCCTCTGTCCTTGGAGAGAAAACTTCATGTTGAAAGATTGAAGCTGAAGTGACTGGGTCTGGTGAGATGCAGAGTGGCACACGGAGCCATTATGAAAGCTTAAGCTGTTTGAAAGTTCTTGCTGGTGACATGAGTATAAATTATGGCATCACACATGCATCAAGAGCCAGAACATTTTTTCTTCTCAGCTAGTAATTCTCATAGAAACATGGCCCCAGGATATGCTAAGGCAATCACAGAAAGATCCATATCACGTAACGTTCATCACATTATTACTTTTAAAAGCCCTGAGTTGGAAATGATTTTAATATCCAGCAGTAGACAGTGGCTAGGTACATAATGGGTTACAGCCATTAAGTGGAAAGTAGGACATCTTGTCGTGACTTGTTATTTTGAGACTGAAGATACTTTGTCCATAATGAGAAAACTATTGAATCTCTAAGTTTGAGGGGGAAAAAAGTGATGTCTATAACACTTGCCCCATTGCTGAAATCCAAAGGCTTCCTTGCTTTGATCCTAAGCCCAGAAGCTTCAGTGATAGAGGGGATTTAAAAAATAAGATGAGGTCATGTGGTATGCAAATAATAATTTCTGACTTAGAACCAAAAGCTTATTGATGTGTTCTTAATGTGAACAAATAGATGAGGGTATGAAAATAAGCATGAGATACAAAAATAGTTTGAGTTAAAATCTTTTTGTTAATGTTAAGTGCTCATGTACTTCACTTGTGAATATCTAAAAAGTAACTGTTGATATTCATATACTAAATTACTTACACTGATTTTTACCAATGGATGATTATTGAATAAAAGTTTTCTTAATTGGCATTGGGATACTAATAAAGAAGAATTCGTTGCTGTGAAATGTTTACAATATTTGCAATGAGGAGTAGGCATTTGGCATAGCAGGTAGCTCAGTGCCTGAGATGCACACATCCCACTTCAGAATGCCTGGTTTGAGTCTCAGCTCCTCCACTTCTGATCCAGTGTCCAGTGTGTACCTAGGCAGACAGAACTCAGATGCCTGGCTCCCTGCCTACCAGATTACATTCTAGGGTCTTGGCTTCATTGGCTCAGTCCTAGCTGTTGTAGGCCTTTGAGGACTGAACCAGGGGATGGGATATCTCTCTCATTCACTGTCTCTGTTGCAAATTAAATAAATAAGTAACTTAAAAATATTTAAGTGGAAGGCCAAGCTGCTACAGTCCTCACCTGGCACTTGCTGGGATCCCATATTGCTACTGGTTCTAATCCACTTCCCATTTAGCTCCCTTCTTGTGACCTGGGAAAGCAGTCAAGGACAGCCCAAAGCCTTGGGATCCTGTACCCATTTGGGAGTTCTGGAGGAGGCTCCTGGCTCCTGGCTCTTGGCCGTTGTGGCCACTTGGAGAGTGAATCATCGGAGGGCAGATCTTCCTCTGTGTCTCTCCTCCTCTCTGTATATCTGACTTTCCAATAAAAATAAATAAATCTTAAAAAAATATGTAAGTTGAGCTCCCCAGGAAGATGATAACAATAAAGGATTCTGGATAAAGAGATCTCACCATTATCTGTGGTATCCAACGCTCTATAGAGATAGATTCATTTTCTCAACCTCCAAGGCCAAGTCTCCCTTAGTGGGTGGCTTAAATGACAAGAATTTATTTTCTCTATTCTGGACAGCTGAACTCCAGGATCAAGAGTGATAGAGTTGGCTTATTCTGAGAGCTGTGGGAGCGAAATCTGTTCCAGGCATCTCTTCTTGGTTTCCAAATGTTTGTCTCCTATGCCTTTATATTGCTTTCTCTTTCTATCTGTGTCTAAATTTACTCTTCCTGTAAGGATACACATCTGTGTTCTAAAGTGAACATCTGTTGGATCAAAAGTTTTCCCAATTTAGCACCCAACCTAATAACCTCACTTTGTCACTCTAAAGACCATGTCTCTAAACACAGTAGCATTCTAAGACACTGTGAGTTAGGGATTTCAATGTAGGAATTCTGAGGTAGACTAATTCAGTTTCTATTCTTTTGAAATTTTAAAGAATGTGACCACTTTTTTGAGAAGGAGAGAGAAGTGTATTTCATCTGCTGAATCCCTCAGAAGCACCCACAAATCTGAGGTTGAGCCATACTGAATCTAGAATCCCAGAACTTAGTCTAAGTCTCCTGCATGAGTACAGGGACCCAGTTACATGAGCCGTCATGTGTTGTCTCCAGGGTGTGCCCTAGCACAAGCTAGAATTAGAAGCTGAGGCACAATTTGAACCCAGACTCTGATAGGGGACGCAGGCATTCTAAGCAACATCTTAACCACTGTGCCCAACACCTGCCCTGCATTCGTTTCTGACTGGTAAATTCTGGGGTAGGAACATGCCCCAATCTTTAGTGTCTGTAGAGCTCTTCGATCTTTTCATCAGTTGGAGATAGGTAGAGAAAATCAGTGAGCAAACATGATTTTCCCATACCATCAGCAAGGGGCTAGATCAGAAGTGGGGTAGCCAAAACTCAAACTCGTGTCCATAGAGAATGCCAGTGTTATAGGCACTACAAAATCAGGCCCCATCTGTACTGCTTTTTGCCATCCCCATGGGTTGCATGTCTGTGATGGGGAAGCTTAGCCAGATTAAATGGAGGATCAGGGTATAAGGAGAAGCACTGCATCTTGCTGGGATTGGGGTCCTGCCTGATCTGGCTGTCCCTGGGTCCTATGCAGGTGCGAGCATTCTGAGCATAATTGTGGACTGACTGAGTAATCCCCAGGACAGTTACCTTGTCATCAGTCCAAAGATTTGCAAGTTAAACTGATGGATTGAGAGAAAGGGGAATGGGTGATGGGAAGAAGAAAACACAGTTCCTGCCCTTAATGTCATGTGTGTCTGTTCCAGACTGTGGTCAAACAGAACAGAGACCAGCTGGCCAGCCTTGTTTGTCCAACTTATTGACTAATCTCTGAGTTCATGTGCTGAGCTGGTTCATGAAGTTCTTGAACTTTGATTACCCTAAGATTTCTAACATAGTGAAAATGAAATAAGAAAACAGTACTATCTTTAACATAAACCTATGGCATTGAGTAAATTAAATGTTTGATTTTTGAACTAAAAACTTCAAGGAATCCAAAGAAAAAGTTGTATACTAGCGCTAAGCACTTGCTAGGCTTGGGGGGATGGAGGGTGCATCAGAACTAAGTTCTGTTAAGAATTCTAATCTCAGGCCTTGTGCAGTAACCTAGCAGCTAAATCCTTGCCTTGCATGTACCAGGATCCCATATGGGAACAGGTTCATGTCCTGGCTGCTCCACTTCCCATCCAGCTCCCTGCTTGTGACCTGGAAAAGCAATCAAGGATAGCTGAAAGTCTTAGATCCCTGCACCTGTGTGGGAGATTTAGAGGAAGCTCTAGGCTACTGGCTTCGGATCTGCGCATCTCCGGTCGTTGCAGCCATTTTGGGGGTGAACCAGCAGATGGAAGATATTTTTCTCTGTCTCTTCTATTCTCTGTAAATCTGAATTTTCAATAAAAATAAATAAATCTTTAAAAAAATTTTACTTTTCAGGCTGCCTACACAACCATTGGGTCAGACTAAGCCTCAACATACTTGAAATATAATTGAAATATAATGTTGTAAATGCACATGATGAATAATCAGATTTGGATGACAAATTTTAACAAGATCTATGCTCTCTAATGTTGTAGCTTCTGGTTTCAGAATAAGGAAGACCAGGAAAAGCTAGGCTCCTTGGTTACCCTAGCCAGATTTTCAGGGCTCTGCATCACATGTAGTTGGTGGCTGCTATATTGGACTGCACAGATAGACAATAATGTCACAGGTGTAGAACGCTGTATTGGACACACATAATAAACAAGTAAATATGGTCTCCCAAAGAGTTGCTTTTTTCATTTAAAAATAGCAATAACTTATAGGTTACCGAGAATAACTGCCTATCTTATGATTAATACATTTTGCCACATCTTACCAGCCCTCTCTCCATGATAGGCTTGATAATGCCATTAATAAATGGTTGGCTTCCAAGGCAACTGTTTTTTTCTAATGAATTTGTCACTAGTTTAATTGGTGGTAAGTCAGTACCTGGCTCTTAAGTATGGAAATAGTAAAGCAATTCCATATTCTTAGGAATACCTTTATAGAGATGTCACACTGTTCCCATTAAAATTGTGAAAACAAAGAGTAAATGCCAACTGTAAATGCAAATGAGGTTACACAGCCATCTGCCCCCTTTGCCTGCAGTTTCCTTAAGCATGCTAGTAATAAGGATGGGTGTTGTGGCACAGTAGATTAAGCCACCAAGTGAGATGCTTGAAATTCGTATCAAAATGCTTGGGTTCACCTCAGTATACAACCTGGCTTTCTGCTAAGGCACACCGTGAGAAGTGGCAGGTGGCCTACAGTAATGACTGATAACAGGTAGATAGATAAGTGATGAATTGGAATGCTGTGTTATATTCAGAATGGAAAACAGCAGGAAGAAAAAGAATGGTAGCACAATAGGCTACAGTAAAGGGGTCTTCAAAAAATCAATGGAAAATGCATATTGTGAAAAAATGACTCACGGAGTTCAAAACTTTTCTTGCACCAAAAATGAATTTCTACTCAATTCCATGTGCTGCTACTTTTGAAGTGCCTTCCTCTGAAGCCCTGTGCTAAGGGTTTTGTGTATGTTGACTCATGCGAGCCTCATAACCACCCTGTAAGTCCTGAGTCAGACCATGGCACCAAGATGGGCCAGCTGGGAGGTACTGCTCAGTATGCTGTCTTTGTTTTTCAAAGAGTGAAGCCAAAACACAGCAGTGCAGGCCTCTAGGCCATGGAGACACAGGACAGACTTCCCAAACTCCACTTCTAAGCATTCTGCTGGAAGGTAGATGTCTTTAGCTTTTGCCTTACAACAGGGCATGAATTTACAGTTACAACATTGACTTTAATGCTCAGCTTTGCGAAGAAGGGATCTGGGTGAACCTACCCGAGGCAGCTTGTTCTAATGCAAGGAATACAAGATCAGACCAAATGGTTATGATCTTTGTGCA